TGAGCCTTTTTTGTTGGCTTCTTGCCTTCTGGGTAGCGATAGTAGTAGAATTGATGGGTTAGGTTCACAGGCTGTGTCCTGCATGCCTGAGTCACAGTACTGAAAATGATAAACTCCTTATGTTGCACTTAAATGGGGATGGTCCTTAAAAGCCGTATTTGTTTAAAGACACTGTCATCTGAGGAGGCAGCCTGGCTTGTTGGCTAAGCAGCAGTTTGAGGAAAGCCTGGGGACCTGTTTTGATCCCAGCTGTGCCACTAAAATGTTTTTTGGTGACCCTGGGTAAGTCACTTAACCTTACTTACAGCATTCTTAAAACAACCCCCGAGGTTGTCATGAAGAGCCTTGGGGGGGAAAGAAATGTTTTTAGCAAATAAGCTCAGGTCCCCCACAAGAAAGGTTAAAGGTGGGAGTTGTTTTGTTTTATTTTGTTTTTAGCTGTACGACATTTCTTTTTCTTCAGGTCTCTTAGTCCAAATGAGTAGTCTGTTTAGTGGAAACTTATTAGTTAATGGAAGCTCTTTGGTGGTAAATCATTGTAAATTGGCAATTGCTGTGGCGTGCCAAGCTTGAGAGGCTCTATTCCCATTCTTTCAACAAAAAATCAGCTGTGGTCTCTGACCTATTTATTTGGAGGTAACTGCCAAGCGTAAAAAAGATTGGGAAAGCATACAGTTTCACTGGTCCGTACCCTGGACTGGGACATCCTCACTCATTTGGAAAAGGCTTCTTTCTCCTTTAGTTTTTCTTTAGTGCTCTTAAATCAGCTAACATGTTAGTTGCAGTTGTACTTTGCACAGACACTAATTAGAGAGCCATCAATATTGGGGTCCACAGGCTTACCGACAATGCAACTGTCATAGTGGTGCCTTAATTGGTTGAGTGTAATTGTCATTAGGCAGCGATAAAGACATCTGGAGCTCTGGAGGAGAATCAGTTTTTTCTTCCTACCTCCCTTCAATATCTGTTCTTGCTTCTCCTGGCCAATGTTAAGCACTTTTAGATCGCGTTTAGGGTTTGGTCCAGTTCCCTCTGCTCCAACCATTGTTTTACCCTCATGCAAATACCTGTTTCTTTAGCACGAGTTCATTAGCACGGGGTCTGAGCTCCATTATTCTGGCTGCTCTCACTTGCGTTAGATTCTAGAGCCTGGCGCTGAGTCATCACATGGTACCTGCTGAAATGGTATGTATTCTCTGTTCCCCTCCAAAAGGAGACATGGAGTCTTTTATATTTTGCCTCCTGAGTCATTTGCATTATACTCTTCTGCTCTTTGGCCATGGGAGTTAATTTAAATGGATATCTTTGAAAGTGTTCTTCTTTACCAAAATAATTTAGCTTATCCTGTGCTTTTATAGATATTTTAATCAGTTTGGAAGTAAATATAAGGAGTTTAACACCTCTCGATGTGTGTGTTCGGAGTGTTTCACTGATCACAGCAGTGGAAGGTGGGCAGTAGAAGTAAAAGGCGCCACTCAAACCAGTCAGGTTGTTACTTGTGGACACCCCTTTCCAGTCATTGGTATATTATATATATTAGCTACATGTCAGGCGCTGTGATGGAGATACAGCATTGAGATATGGCCTTCTTGGGGACTTGACAGCCAAGTGGAGATGTGGAATGTAACGAACGCCATTTCTTCAGATACAGTGGTAGTTGAGCCAGAGAAGGCTTCATGGAGGAAGAGGGTCTGTGCTTAACATTGAGCAGTTGGTAGGCTTGGGCTAGGTCAGTGGTTCTCAGTCTTGCCTAAACATTGGAAACACTGATGCCTGGTTCCACTCCCAGAGTCAGATTTCAGTGGCCTGGGCGTGCTTTGGGCATCAGGAGTTTGGAAAGCATCCCAGGTGGTTCTCATGTGCAGCCAATGTTGGGATCCACTGGGCTGGGTTGTCAGGAGGGAAAGTACTCCAGAAAGGTGGATAACATGAGCAAAGATGCAGAAGCAAGAGTATATGGAAGCCAGGAATGATAGACTTGTACGGAGACAGGTTCATGCTTAGGAAGAACAGAAAATGAGACTGGGGAGAGGGGCAGAAGCTAGTTTGTGGAGGGATCTCTGTGCTAGGCCTAGTAATTAAAATGTCATCAATAAGATGTTAAGGCTTGAGTAGCTAGGGGGCTTTCTAAGTGTTAAGTGCTGTTCTGGTCTGACTCAGAACTTCTAGTTGTTGGGCTCATAGCTGTGAGCAAGACCCAACCCCTGACCTTAGAAGCTTATAGGTTCTTGGGGAGCTGAACACACACACACACACACACACACACACACACACACACACACACACACACACACACACAGTTGCTGTGAGAAAAGTGTAGGCTAGATCACAAGGGGACATGGTCCAGTGTGAAGGGGAAGGGAGGAAGGAAGAATGATTATTCGTGTCGTCAGGTACTTTTGAGGGCTCGGCTTGTGCAGGGCTGATGGTGGGCGGGGAGGCTTGGGACTAAGGGGCCCTGAGGTGCTGAGGGGTTTGGACTGGGGCAGCCTCCCTGGGGAAGGAAACAGAGAGGACGTGGCCAGCGGGACACAGAGGTCAGTGGGGCCGGGCCGGGCTGGGGTGAGGGATGCGGAGAAGCCGCTCGGTTTTGCACCAGGGACTAGGACTGATGCGTCACTGAGGAAAGGAGGGAATGCAGCAGTGGGCTAGTGTGTGGTGAACTGAAGCCTTCGGGGGAGAACCTGGGCTTCACCTAGACACTCGGCATCTCAGGGCGAGGGCAACTCTTTCTGTGCCGGAAAAGCCCTGGGAGGCTCTGGTGGACATTAACAGAGCGCTCTTCTCTGCGGGAGCCTGCCGGTGATGAGAGCGAGTGGCAGCTTGGATCTCACCACTCCCTGCTCTGTGGGGTGCAGCACTTGATCAGGTCTGGCTTTGTGGTTTTGCCTCGGAACTCTGTAAAGGGGCTTTGGGGCTGGAGCTTGGGCTCCTGAAATGCTCTCCTCTGTACCCCTCTGCTGGCCATGGGGGCCCCTGATGGGGTGCACAAAGGGCCTTGCGAGAGCATGTGCAGCTGCTATACTGGTCATCAAAGGAAAGGAAATACGTTTCCAAGTCCCAGAGTTCTCAGACCCCTACACTTGCTTTCTGTGTCTTTCACTCCTCGTCTCTGTATTTCTGATGGTGTCACCATCCCTCTCACCTTTTTTTTTTTTTTTGAAATGGCTCCTTCCTTTCACATAGAATTTAAGAATCTAATCATGCACAGTCTAGACATTCAAACATGTTATCTCTGTTCAGTGTCTCTGTAGCTAAGCAAGTGGCCTTACTCCAGGGAATGTCTGAGTTGTTTTCTAGGGTGTCAAGGTGAGCCTGGTAGATTTGGCGGAGTCTGTGTTCTCGTATAGTGTTCCTCATTAAGAAGGGTGATCTGGAATGCTGCCCGGAGGACCTGGGAACCAGTGGCCGTGTTTTGGCCACGGTGATATCAATATCCACCCTTGCTTCGTGCATCGCCAGGCTTAACAACACTCGTGGAGCGAGCGTTCCCATTTACTGGGGCATCAGTGGTCGTGCAGAGTTACTTCAGTCCAATTTTAGAAAGCACGTCTCTCTTACTGGCTCTTGACACCACACGCACACTCCCCAGGCATTGTCTTGCAAGGGGAGAGCGGAATTCTCCAAGTGAAGGAATTTGTGTGACAAAATCACCTTTGAATCACATAATGTATTTACTGTCAATAATTTGAGGGAATTACTGCTACATTCAGTAAATGAAACACTCCTTTATCAGAATGTTCTTAGTTTTTTTTTTTTTTTTTTTTGGATACAGGTATATATTTTTAAAAATTTTATTTGAGAGCATGCGCATGAGCAAGGGGTGGGCAGAGGGAGAAGCAGGCTCCCCGCTGAGCACGGAACCCAATGTGGGGCTCAATCCCAGGACCCTAGGTTCAGGACCTGAGCCAAAGGCAGATGCTTAACTGAGCCACCCAGGGTTCCCTCTTAATTTCTCTATTAAGGAATCTCACATGAGAAATTGATCTCTACTTCATAGATGTATCATGTGATAGATTTCAGTAGTTGAATACATTTCAGAGATTATCTTGAGTCTTTATAGTTTTAGTGTGGGATCCAAGAAACCCTGAAGGAACTATGGGTAGGGCCTCAAGACTGTGAACCTGCTTAAAATTGTGTGCCTGTCTTTGTGGGGTACATCATTAGACTCTTAAAGCATTTCTAACACGCCTCCCCATGGTTAGTTGATTTACATGTTGAACCAAATTCTCTGTCGCAGATGTAAGGAACTTAGCATAAATACCTCGATGGCAGGCAGCACACCACCTCATCATCTGGTCATTCCATTATCCTGGTGTCTGAGAGGCCTGATGTCTGAGCAGGTTCTGGCCCTGCCTTGGCTTTGATGGAGAGAGTCATTTGTTGGAGTGGCAGTAGTAATAGGAGAGAGTGAGTGCTCCGATAATCTAAGTGGGCAAAACCGGGGAGTGTCATGCATTTCGGCAAGAGCTTTTCATGAGAAGGCAGCATTGTCTGGCTGCTAAAGGCAAGACTTAATTGTTTCAGCAAATCAATTAGTCTTCAGGGACTTTAATCAGTCAAATCTGATGCATGGATGAGGCATTAGAAAGCTCGTGCCTGTAAGACCATTAGTTCTTAGCATTCCTCTCGGTCTGTCTTTAGTGTATGTGTGTAAATACGATGGCTTCTACAGATTTCTGCTAGTGATCCCTTTGCTGGGAGAATGCAAGGTAGTAGATTGGTTATGCTAGCGTAAGGGAGATCTTGGTATCCCGGGTTGTAGTACAGCGTTCTCATTTGAATTGTCACCATTGTGCCCTGTGAGAGCATGAACCATGTTCCCAGCCTTCTGTCATCTCGGTGACATTTTCTCCTTTTGGAATTACTCATCTAAACGGCATTACAGGAGTGTTTCCCCAAATCTTATTTCTCTGTTGTTTTAAGGCTCTCCCTGTTTTCTCTACCATGGCCCTGCTCTCCAGTCCCCGTTTGGAACCAAGTGTGCCCTTCTTTTCCAGATATACATCAGGGGACGTGAGGGTGTGGGACACCCGCACCTGGGACTACACAGCCCCTTTCCTGGAATCAGAGTATGAGGAGGACGAGCCTGGAATGCAGCCATATGTCTCCTTTGTGAGGATAAACAGCTCGCTGGCGGTAGCCGCTTATGAGGATGGTAAGTAACTGCAACCCTCCTCCCTATTAAGGAAAAAAAAAGCTTTACAAAAATTAAGCAGCTGTGGCCGGCCCCCCCCCCCCCCCGTAATCCCTCCATACATACACGTGGGCACACACACATGGTCACACACATAGACTCACTCTTGCCTTTATGTGGAGAAGTTGGCCAATAACCCCTCCATGCATTAGTAGGCGATGGAGCACAGAACCCAGTAAGACTGGGGTTTAATTCCTACTGGAACTGGCGGGCTGGGTTTCAGTGCTAGACACGAGGCTGGCCAAGCCATCTTAAGCAAATAGCTTGTTTGGTATAAAATTTTAAATATACTTGGCCTACTTTTCCTTTAGTTTCTCCTCAGTCCAAAGGGAACAGGGAAAAGGGGGGACAGAGGGATAATCTGTTGACAAATATGGAAATAGAAAAATAAAAGTCAGTGCCTACCTTTTCCCGGCACTTACATACCATACAAGATAATTTATGGTCCTCTGTTGTCTCTCTGGGATTGATAGAATTCTTTTTGTGTATGAGCAACCATGGACTTAGGGAACTAGGTGAGAGAAATCTAAAATTATATTCACCTAAGTCATGAAACACCTGTCAGTTTGTAGCTAATAGGAATCATAATTTTGATGGCGATGATATCCTATGCTCCTAAGTTCCATTATGTTGTGACGTTGGAATCCCCAAAAGCTTTGTTTCCTCACTTGCTGAGTCGGACCGCGAAATATTTTGGAATGTTAGTCTTCATGTCATGGCACTGTTGCAAATCTTTGGAGTCAGTGGAACAACCACAGAATCCATGGTTGGTTCAAAGGGACAAAACTGTAGTAAGTAGCTAATGGGCAATTTTATATCTATATGTCACTCAAAAAGTAGAGCTGAAGTCTTGAAAATATTTTCAATGTACTACTTTAACAACATGAACTCTGTTCTTTCAGTTTGACATTAGTAGAGCTCCTTGGTAGATTTTCTTTTCAGCCTCTAGAAATTCAGCTAAGCCCTTTCTGCAGTATATAGTATTTCCTATATGTTTGTTGAGCTCTGGGGTAGATAACATAAGATCGGCTTGAGTGTGTTTGCTACTTTCCAAATTGCCAGTGAGTTTCTCTAAAAAATGAGTATGCAAATGTTGTAGTACAATTAGAATCCCACACCCTCTGCTAGTCTCCCCCGGCCACACACATACCTGTGTACACACACATTCTTCTTCAGATGGTGAACCTGGAGCCCAGAAAGACCAGCGAGGTGGTTTGCTTGAGGTTGAGTTGTGAGTCCAGTAGTGAATCCAGAAGTGTGACTGTGTGTCCCAGGCCACACCGGGGTCAGAGTGCATGCTTTATGTGCTGCTAAACACAGATGCCGGCAGAGATTGTGCGCCTGATTGATCGGCAACCCCATGCCTCCTATCTTGGGAGCTTGAAGACCCATCTTGAGGAGATGGGCTCGTGTGCTGCCGGTTTCCCATCATTGGCCAGAAGTGTTTGTTCCCCTCCTCCCTCTTGCACAGAAACATTGGGAAACCGTGTAGATGGGAGAGAGAAACTACCTTCTTTGGCAAATACTTGGTAAATAATGGCCAAAATGTATTTTTAAAACTTGATTTAAAAAAATATAGTTAACATTCAAACAGAGCAAAAAAAAAATATAAAATATAAAAGAAAACATATCCAAAAGGAAGCTGAAGTTCTTCTCCCTTGCCCCCTGCCTCTGTCCCTCCCCTTGCATGTCTTATACACGGGTCCTACGCTATGTACTTCTCTGCATCTTGCCCGTTTTGTTTTTAACACAATGACACATCTTGGTATCTTTCTGTATTAGCCCTTATAGGTAAACCTGATTCTTTTTGAGCCTCAGTACTATGGCACGATGTGGTTGTACTTATAATTTATTAGAGCCCTTGATGCACACTTGGATGGCTTATTTTTGTTATTAAAAACAGTTCCTCAAATACCATGATGGACTTGTGCAACTATAGCTATGGGGTAAATTACTAGTCATTACTGGGTTGGAGGCTACACATGCTTTATGTTTTGATAAACATTACCAAATCGCCCTCCACAAAGGTTCTCCCAGTGAATGGTCGCACCACCGTGTGTATGAGAGTGGTGGCTTCCTCACACTGGTCTGATAGGTGGAAATGGCACTTCACTGTTGTCTTTGTTTGCCTTTCTTTATATGGATAGGTGAACACCTTTTCATATTTTTTTTTCTATTTCTCTGCAAATTGCTTGTTCCCATCTGTTCTCATTTTTCTCTGGGTTGTCTTTTCTGATTGGAAAGGGAAATAGCCCTTGCCATACCTATTTTAAATGTTTTTTCAGTTGGTTAGTTATTCTTCAGTGGACTTTGTTTATGGTTCGTTTTTCTAGATGGTAGTTGTAGATGTGTATAATTTTAACTTTTTAATCCATAATTGAGTGGGTTTTATTTTATAATTTAATGTTTTTGACTAAATACTACATTTTTAGGGATGTAAGGTCAGATTCATAGAAACGGTTACACATTGAGAAGTCTTGCTTTTTTTTTTTTAATTAAAGATTTTATTTATTTGACAAAGAGCACAAGCAGGGGGAGAGGCAGAGGGAGAAACAGACTCCCCGCTGAGCAGGGAGCCCGACGTGGGGCTCGATCCCAGGACCCTGGGATCATGACCTGAGCCAAAGGCAGATGCTTAACTGACTGAGCCATCCAGGTGCCCTGAGAAGTCTTGCTTTTACCCATTTTTGTCCACTCCATTCTAAAGCAACCATATATTTTAGTTCTCTGTCTATCCTTCCAGTATTTTTTTTTAAGATTTTATTTATTTTACTTTTGAGAGTGAGTGAGAGACAGAGAAGAAGCGGGGGGAGGGGCAAAAGGAGAGGGAGAAGCAGACTCCCCACCGAGTAAGGAGCCAGACATGGGCCTCGATCATGGGACTCCAGGATCATGACCTGAGCCAAAGGCAGATGCTTAACCGACTGAGCCACCCAGGCGCCCCTATCCTTTCAGTATTTCTGTGTTGTAAATATGAATATTCGTATTCCCCCCCTCTTTTTCTTAAATGAAAGATAGCATATTACTTTATATTATTCCACACGTTGTCTCTTTTCACTTAATGATCTGTCTTGGGAAAGCTTGTCCATGTCCGTATATAGAAAAACAGCCTCCTTCCCCCGCCCCTCCCATACCTGCATAGTATTCCATGTGTACAAGGACTGTGGTTCATTTACACAGCCCCTTACTGAGGAATAGTTGTGTTTCGGACCTTCTGCTATCACAATGTAGCAAAAAAACCTTACCTATGAGACGTTTCATGTGAGTACAGGAATGGTAGTTTCCTCTAAAATTTATGAATCCAAGGATAAATGCAGATGGGATTATACAATTTTGCACTCTCACCAGCAAGGTGTGTAGGTATGCCCATTTCCTCACAGATTTGCCAGCAGACTATGTTTCAGACTTCCAGGTACTTGTCAATTTGATAGATTAGAAATGGTATCCAAATGTAGTTTCAATTTATGTTTCTCTTAGCCTAAGAATTGTTTTCATATTTGTACCTGCCTGCTACTCATACTTCTTTCTTCTAATAAGCTATGGCTTATTTTTCACACTTGAATCTTGACCAATATAGAGTTTATCCTGCGACAGTATAAAATATGAATCTGAGAACAATTTTTCCAGCATCTCTTATTAAAAGCACATCACTCCCTACCTCACTGGTTCAAGGTGCTGCTTTTATAAGTTTTTAGATGTGAGATCTTCTTAGTACGTAGGTCTGTTTCTGGATGTTATGCTTCGTCTAGCTGCTTACGTTTATACCATCACGTTGGTGTTGTCTTTCTGGGTTGCACGGCAGGCTTAAGGGGATCTCCCCTACTCCAAGCTGAGGTTAAATCTATAGTACTTACATCGTTTATGTTGAAATCTTTGGTCTCAAATTCATTTGGGGATTAGGATTGTGTCTTCGGTGAGAACTCTTGCATTTTTACTTCTCTTCTCACTCTGAGCTTGTTTTACCAGTCTGATTGGGGCTTTACTATTTCTGGGATACATGACAGCTTTTCATTTTTCTCCCAGACCTCAGGTGGCATTGTCTTTGGTCTCACTTCATTTTTAACAGATTGATGCTGTGATATTTATACCAACATATCTATGAGTAGCTACTTCTGAGGCAAAGACAGATTGAAAACCTCAAATGCACAGTTTTATATTCCTTTTGAGGAGCAGCAAACGGGCACTTCTTAGGCAAAACATGGCAAAAAGGAAATGGACCTTGTGGGGTCTGCTGTATATAAAATTCACGACTATGCCCAACAGGAGAGAAGATGATGATAAAAATGAACTTCAGCTCCCTGGCTGTGCCGAAGGGAAGCTCTGTAGTCACTGAGGCCCCTTTGGTGGCCTACACACATATTCTCCACAGAAGGAGTCGGGTCCGGAAGGGGGATGGAAGCTGCTTTGAGAGAAAGTCAGTCGTCCCCACATCCTTTTTAGCTCCTCGCCCTGTAGGAACACTGTACACCCACCTGGGGTGTTGAGATTTGGCAAGGTGATCCACAGTTGTGATTTTTTGAATTCCAACCCACTGGCCTCATATTTCTTCTGCCTTGTTTCCGATTGTCAGCACTGGCCGTCCTCCAGTTTGATTTGACCACTAATTGTGTTGCACGTTACCGTACCGAAATGAATCAAATCAAAATGCTTTTCCTGGAGCATTAGATAAAGCAGGCGAAGGTTCTGAGTAATGAGCAGATGCTGCTAATGCAGGGACAGTGGAGACCTTGCCAGGACTCCATCTGCTCCATGCCTGCCTGCCTCTGGCCCTGAGCCACAGCATTAGGGAAGGCGCTGTACTCGAAACCCACTCCCCGTTCACAGAGTTTGCCTTGAAAACTCACTGTTTGGTGAGAAATGAGATTACACACTTCTTAGGTGCAAAGAAGTTCTCGTTTGTCCCCCCAAGTGGAGAGGAGAGACCAGACCCAGTGCATATTAGCATGTGGAAGCCTAGATGG